GGGGGGGGGGGGGGGGGGGGGGGGGACTTGCGTCATGGTTTCAGCATTTTGCTCTAAAATTTATATAAATATGCCAATTATGCTAGCTGTAGTGCTTTTTCCTTAAAAAGTCCCAAAAATATGCTCGTTTTCACAAATTATGCCAAAAAATTTGCAGCATGCGCATAGAATCGAGAAAAGCTTAGCCTGCGCAGTACAACCATTAGGTCCATTACAACCAATTCACAAGATCATATAATAGTATGAAATAAAGAAAGTGTCAAAATGCATTCAATCAGAACGTGGAAAGGCACAACATCGAATTTGGTACGCCTATAGACACACAGGCGATTCTCGCGAAAACGATTTGCGGGATGGGGGCTTCAGCCGAGGAGGCGAATTGGAAAAACCGAAACTGGTAACCTAGACAGTAGGTTGAATACATAAAAGCTTGAGCTTTCAGTAAGTCAAAAACGACGAGAACGTAATGCAAAAAGCCAAGCATAAAGCTAAATAAAATATTTTTGATGCGTGGGCATTGTAGTGAGCTCAAAATTAAATGAGCTCTTTTACATTCAATCCCATTTTACCTAAACAATAGTCTTGTCCTTGCAGGATTTCAGTGTTGGGCGTGGTCAATCTAGATGGGATGTTGTCGGTGAGTTTGACATTTTGGGTTGTAAGCATTGTGAACGACCTCACAAATGTCGAGATTACCAATAGTTGGGTGGCAAAAAACGAGTTATGTTTCAATGGTGTTATTACGAATGAATGCGCTGAGGATGTCACTGATGGTTGGAAAATGTATTTAAAATCGTCGCAACGTTTGTCCACATTGACTTCGACTAATGTTACGGTTCTCCAAACAGACGTAAATTCGTCCTTCATTTTCAAAAACCTCCCTTGGAACAGTCAGTGCTTGACGGGAGAAATAATTCGAGTATCGTTTGCTGGATGCACACCACAGAAAGATAGCTTGCCTCAACTAACGATTGAGTTCCACAGAAACGAAAAGCTGTGTCCAAAGATAACTCCACCTAGAGATCGTCAATCAATTGAAGTTCCAACCGTCTTGGTCCATGACGATGACTCGACCTTCCGAGCATCTTTAAGTATTAACCTTCCAGTAACAGTGCAGGGTGATTGGGTTATTTACCTAGCCGTATCAACACAACTGTCTGAAGTGAATGCCGGTGGTGTATCATGTTTACCGAAACGGGGTGATATATTTACTCTTACAAATTTGCATTGGCAGGAAATGTTTATGGCTGGCGTGACACATAGTCTGGAAATTGATGGGAAGAAGGCAACACATGGAATTAAAACGCCCTGCATTACAGCCATGTTTACATGGGAGAAAGACATGGTGGTATATCCTTCAACGATGCCACCATTAGCCCCTTCTGCAAACCAGACAATATCACATACAGTGCAGCAAACGTTTACACCAACCTCATCACAATTACAATTTCCATCACCATCCCTATCAGAAATACGAATCGCATCCTCTTCTGCAGCTATAAGTACTACAGTTACCGAACGACTTCAAAGTGTAACATCTCTTCAGACAACATATTCAAAAGTATATCAGACAAGTTCTGTAAATATACAAAGTTCACCAACAATTCAGGTGCAACCATCAAGCACAACCACAACAGAAGTTGGTGAAACCATCCTACCACACGAATGCGGTGATGTGACCCTTCCATCAGGTTATTACAACTTAGAAACGTCGGTGGTTGTAGAAAAAGAGTGGCCACAAGGATTTTCTGGGAAAATAACGTTTACAACAACAACCCAAATTCGTGACGGTTGGCTGGTTGAGTTGGTAATGGATAAGGCTATATCTTTATTGAATGTCTATACTGTGACAGCGACAGCGAGTAGCGGCACGAGGTTTACATTACATAATAAAGACTACAACAAGAAGATTGAGGAAGGGACTGTCTTCGCTATTGAATTTGACGCAATTAAAGAGACCGAAAATGAGAATGTACCTTGCATGAGAGCTGTGTTCATGTGGGCTACAGAGGAACCTTGTCCGAAGATAGATTTTGTCAGTGGAAGTAATTCCATCAATGTTTCTGTAAGTATCACAAGTCAATGGAGTAAAGGCGTAGCAGGAACAATAACTGTAGTGGTACCAGAAGAGATACGAAATGGCTGGCAGATAGAAGTTGTGTTTGATATTCCTCTTGCATTGACGGTATATATTGCAATAAGTACTCCTTCAACAGGCACCCACTTCACTTTGACGAACGAAAGTTACAATAAAGAACTACAAACTGGATACAATTTGGTTGTTGACTTCACTGCTACAAAGCAAGAGAATGATGCAACTGTACTCTGTGCTGATGCAGTATTTCACTGGTAACATATTATGACTAGAGATGCAGTGAAACATACTCCATCAGACTTGCTGTTAGGTTATGTTATAAGCACATGCACATTAGTTCGTTTTCACAAAACAAAATGTGCCAATACATTCTTCTATTGCTATAATCGATGCAAAAGTTGTTTTGAACAATTTGCATTTCGTCATATATTTTCTATAGTAAGTTCTGAACAGTTTCTTATTCTTTAGCTAATCATCACGCTATTTTATTTCTTATTAAAATATCATTAATAATTCATAAACCTTGTGGCAAATCATAGCAGCCATAATATGTCACGTGGAGTGACTTTATATCTGATATAACACTGCATGTATGCATGTGGCATTATATAATTGTTCATCCTAATTAGTATTCTTTTGTAGTCGTATTTTAAGCTATTTAAAACACGAGTAGGAGTGTTTTAAATAGTACATATAGAACATTGTAGTTATCATATCATCATAACAATAATTAAATTCGACTGAGTTAAATTATATATATATATATATAAATAAATAAAACACGTAAATGTCCAATCAGATGGTCTCGACGTATACAAGAACGTAGCAACACCGCAAAACTTTAAAAAATGTACATATGTAATTTTAATCTCAGTATTCTGAAGAAGGCTCGAAGTACCGAGTCGAAAGCTCAATAAAAGTATATTTCAATCTGGAGAACTTAAAAATACGACTACAAAAGAATACTAATGAAGTTGAGTTTTATCAGATATAAAGTCACTCCACGTGACATATTATGGCTGACATGACTTGCCAGAAGGTTTATGAATTATTAATGAGTATATATATAAATATGTATATTTATTTTTTTATTTGTGCATGCCTAGTGATATTTTTTGATTTCCTGCAATCTGATTGGCTGCAGCAGCGGGCAGCTTTTTACGATATCTTGACCGTGGTCCAAAAGAGTTATTTTTTGCGAAAAACCAAGGAGTGAAGACAATTTTCAAACTCAAAACACTACCAAAAAAGTTTAAAAATCCACCCTATTAGTAAAATACAGTGAATTGGCTTCAGTGGACTTAGTGCCAAGCCCGAATTGTACTTTTCTCCGACCAAACTGCGAAAAAAACAACAATAAACATCGAAAAACACTTGCCAGTGCTACATGTTTTGATTCAAATGTTCCACATATATTCAGCTATTCTTCAAAAATATACGTATAAATATAAATAGTATAACGTACAACTTGCCCTTAAACATAAAATGTTAAAGAAAACAACCTTAAATGGCAGTTTAAAGACTATTCCTGGGCTTATTCGGGCAAAATTGTTTTTATAAATGTTGTAAAGAACAACGCAACTGATCTCAAATGTAGTTCGCAACTTGAATTTTATCGGAATTTCATTATAACCATGAACTATCAAATAAAAATATAAACACGTTATTTACCGTTTAGGTTGGTCCGTACTAAAATATATTTTCCCTCGGCCTCACAAGCGTCCCTCGGCATTCGGCCTCGGGCCGCTTCTGAGACCTCGGGAAAATATTTTTTCAGTACGGACCTCGCAGCCGGTAAATAACATATATAATATATATATTACCATTTATGATGAGGAAACGTTTTATGGCACATGAACTAAAACTCAAACAAACTTTGTAAGGACGAATAATCTTTTTATTCAAATATCATGTAACTATATATGTATCAATTAATTTTACAACAAACAAAATAATTTGTGATAATGAAGCATAAAAAATGTAAACTATGCAAATAAATTATAGTCATGTAACAAACGTTATATAATATGGAACGCTCTGTAAATAAATAAATAACGGAGTACTTATAAAAACTGTACACACATTTAACAAGTTTAGCGATTTACTTGGTGGCACGATGCTGTAATTTCCACGAGCCATGAATTTCGCCCGGATCAATAATAAGTGCAACACCTTTCAGGAGGAGGTCATCAGGACAACCAGAACATTTCAGTGGCAGTTTGAAAGGACTATACTGACGCGACTAAAACAATAAGAACACCATAGGTATAAATAATATGATTGCATGCATGGTAAAAGTATGGCTCACTTAAATCCTCTGAAATGTTGAAAACTGAATACAGTAACTATTGCAAATTTTCGATCTTCAATACATTAAACCATTGCCTAACGCCCAATCTCGTTCCCAGAGTATGCCTATTCGTGGGTTATGTAGTGGCATGCCACTACATAACCCGCGAACAGGCATACTCTGGGAACGAGATTGCCTAACGCCATACGCTATGCACCAACAACATCAGTATCTCGACAGCAAAATGTGAAAACTATATATAAAGACCAGTTCTGTATTGTTTCAAATATAATTATAATTACGATAACGCCATTTTCATTGGCGAGGCACTTCATTTAAATCGTTCAAATTTGATATTTACTTTCAATGGTCTACCATACTGAAAACTTACCCTATTTCGATACAATGGACAATTATAAATAATTTCAGTCTCCTTATTCCTGTCTCCAACATATGTAGCTTTAACACATACGTCAGGGATCGTTGATAGTGGAGTGCTAAAGTTGAAAAAAATCCCAGCAAAATAAATATATATATCGAATACTACACAAATGACACCAGAAGCATACCGTAACATTTTCAAATACGGCAATATAGAATCGCTCGAAATTTCTATCTACAAAACCATACAACTCAATAACAACGCAGACAGATTCCGAGGTGCTCTAGAATACACTTTTTAACGTAAAAATTAAAATTTTTGTGAAAATCGTTGACATAATCGTTGTAATTATATAAGGTAATTATAACTAGTGAAAAAATATGGCCTGCCAGTCTAAAATTTTTTGGCAGGTAAAATAAATTGAGCCTGCCATTTTTATTCATTGAACTGCCAAAATGGCGATGTCTCATAGTCATATTGTAAAAATCAATGTTTTCATGACATGCATTTTTATTAATATTTTTAATCTTGTCCATTTTAACTACAGTAAACTTGGATTTACATTTCAAATATAAACGTATTTAGTCAGTAAATGATCTAGTATATATGAGTTGTGGTAAGCAAATGAAATGAAATATATATCTATAGAATTTCTCCTGTCATTTTTTTTTACTTGGCAGTTCAAATTTGTTTTTGCCTGCGATTTTTAAGATATGGCCTGCTTTTGGCCATTGACAGCCCGCTATTTCAAGCCCTGAATTATAGAAATGCTCTATCGTAATTAATCTATATTATTAATAATAATAATAATAATATGTACCTTGATGGAATTAGACCTTCGTTTATTTCCCACAATCCACCTTCTATGTATAATCCAGTTAAGGTGATTCCTTCGCCAGGTTCCTCGTCATCGTCGAAAGAATTTTTCCCAACATAGGAAACTAGAGTAACCTAAACAATTTCAAGAAAGAAAATAAATACTAGAAACCTTAACCACATAACACCGATATATGGACTTGTGATACAATAGATTTTGAGCAATCAACAATGGTAATTGAACTGAATGGATTGCCAGTTGGCCTAAAATCAAACTTGTTACTACGTGCAATTAAGTTTGATTTTAGACCAAAATTGCACTGCACCAATGTAATTTCACTTAGTGCATGTTCAAAAGGGATCGATTTTTAAACGGTATTTCAAAATAGTCGTTGTGTAGAATTGAGAATTCGGCGATACTCCCTTCACATTATTAAACATCCTATTTTTGAAATCTGCTGTGTTGGTGTAAAGTACTCAGGTGAATAAGATGTTTGTGTGATGTTACTCTGAGTGTATATCCACACCGGGCAGGCTTGAAAAATATGCCTGGCCACGGCGGGATTCGAACCTACGACCTTTGGAGTACTTTACACCAACACAGCAGATTTCATGATTATTAGATTACACTGATATCGAAGGAACTAGATTCAGTTACGAAATATCGCATACTCGAACCGTCCTGACCGCGTAGCTCAGTTGGAAGAGCATTGGGCTAGTATTCCAAAGGTCGTAGGTTCGAATCCCGCCGTGGCCAGGCATATTTTTCAAGCCTGCCCGGTGTGGATATACACTCAGAGTAACATCACACAAACATCCTACTTTTGTTTGATGCATCTGCTTTTGCTAACACATAATTCGTTCAACACACGATATGAAAATCACTCTAAAATATCCTATTGCTTCGTTGATTCCTAATTGAGGATCAATGTATCGAGTCACGTTAAAGACCACAAGCATACAATATATTAGTTCATTTAAGGACATCTGAGATTGTGGTAGAAACGTAGTTGAACCAATTTTGTGGCGTTGAATGTGGTTATGTGATCTCATGCATGCTGACACCACATTGGACGATTCCATTTTTGTACGTGCATGCATGGTGCCCTTGTTTTAAAAATGTAGAAGTCGAATTATTTTTATTATTATTGTTACTATGATAATAGATAAGTCGAATTATTTTTTAAGTTAAATTATTTTTATTATAGTTTTTATTATTTTTATTTTATTATTTTTTATATACCGTATTTTCAGATTTTCAGACTTAATGGTTTGTAGTATTTCCTCATACAGGAGATCTAAAAAGTGCACAATTAAAAAATGTTCGCTAAACGGCAAATTCCGCAAAATTTGTGAAATATTTATGCAAGTATGGGTAGTTCGGGGGTCTGCTAGTATCCTTACCACTAAGATTATTTTGAAAAGTAAATTTTAGAGTGCAGGAGGGTTGTTTTTAAAAACCACTTTAAAAGTGACAAAAATGGGAAAGCTTAAAACGCAATTTGAATTCATAGGGTGAAAATTTAGAAGGTGTTTTATGAAGTATTAAAATACCAGACAATTTGATGTACATTATAAAGCCTGGCGTACACGATGCGATTTTGGTCGGCCGAGTTATGGTTTAGATGCATATTAGAACGAGAAACAGTCAGTGGTATGATTTGTGGGCTCATTATCCTCGATCCTTGTATTGGCTCCGTTAAATATCATGCACTTAAGCCATAAATCGGGTTACGTCCTACGTATGCGCCTGGCTTAAGTCCTACATGCTGTTTTTTGTAGAAGTTCTATTCTTATATGTATTCCCAATTTCTCAATCCATTTATCCAGTTTACTACGAACTGCTCCTAAGGTACCTACTACTATTGGAATGACTTCTACTTTTTTCATTGCCCATATTTTCCGAATTTCCCTTTTCAACTCCTCATACTTTTCTACCTTCTCTGTTTCTTTTATACCAATTCTACAGTCCCCTGGGAATGAGATGTCTATGATCTTGCACTCCTTTTCCTTCTTTAAAACCACTACAATATCAGGTCTCCGACATTCAATCACATGATCGCACTGTATGTTAAAATCCCAGAGAATCTTTACATTATCTGATTCAATTACACCGTTTGGTTGGTGTTCATACCATTTTTCAGCTTTCTCTAGTTGATGCAAACCACATAGCTTCCAGTGTACAATGCGAGCCACATTGTCATGTTTTCTTTTGTATTCTTTTTGTGCTAGCTTCTTGCATTCACTTATCAAGTGTGTTATATGCTCTCCCTTTTCCTAACAAAGTCTACAGAGTGGAGACTCAACAGTTATATCTATGTGAAACTTTACATAATTTGTCCTTACAGCTTGTTCTTGTGCAGCACATGCAGAAGTGCTTCAGTCCCAGGTTTCAAGTCTCCTTTCTTCAACCACCAACATGTCTTCTCCCTATCCACTTCTTTCTTCTGTTATATTGTCCATACATTTTCTTGTCAATCCAGGCTTTCTCTAGCTCCTCTACTGCTTTCTTCTTAAAATGTTCTTTTGTTTCGCATCTTTCCGTTTCAATCACACCTGTCTTTCCAACTTGTTGTAAAAGTGGTTCCACACTGTTCTTTACATACCATCCCAAACTGTTCTCCTCTGTACGAATGCATCCTTCACAACTGATCAAACCTTTTCCGCCCTTTTCCCTTGGTAAATATAATCCATGAATGCCGCTTCTTGGGTGAAGAGCACCATACATTATCAGTTTACGTGTTTTGTGATCCATTGCAGCAATTTCATCTTTTGTCCATTTCAAAACACCAGCTTCGTACCTCAGCAGCGCAACAGCCCAAGTATTCATCGCCATGATTTTGTTTCTGCCATTCAGTTTCTGCCATTCATTTCTACCGTTTCGGCCTTATGGTCCTCATCAGTGTAGTGCTGATGAGCAGGATGAAAGTAACTGCTATTTACAGTTACCTTTGATGCCTCACGATTGTGGGATATATATATATATATATATATATATATATATATATATATATATATATATATATATATATATATATATATATATATATATATATATATATATAAGTAGGTTCAAGTAGACAATTATAAATTACCTAAATTAGTGAGATTCATAATTGTATATATACGTATATAATTTCAATAAAGTTTCCATTATTATTATTATTATTATTATGAACAATTTTACCTGCTAAAAATAAATGTTTATGTATGATTGGCTTCTTACATGCTCTTTACAAAAAGTTAAGTTATTTAAAGGTCGTGATTTTGTTAACAATTAAGATAAAAACGATCACAACAGGTTGCAATGAGTTGTAAAAAAGTTTTTAAAGAAGCTCATGGCGAACGAGGTGAAAAGCAAAACATTCTAACTAGAAAATACATGCACGCAGAAACCCTCGCCTTGCTGACAAAACCATTATGTTTTCCAAGTATTGTCATGGTTGCAGTAATAAATTTACGTGGTGTTTCCACAAACAAAACTATTATAAAACAATAATCTTAAGAATAGTTTGAAAATTGAAAAATCCCCCCCAAATATCACTTTTAATTACAAAATGATCAATTCCTCAAACATATATATGTTATGATATATATATAGCTTCAATTTAATGTAAAATTCAATCACAAACGCTTCGCAAAACGTTTTAAAATGTTCTTATTGAACTGCCTTTTATCGGTAAACATTGAGTTTGAAAATTGAAATAAACTGATTTCAAATTCTTGCATGAAAATAACTTTGCTTTCCTCTTTATTTAAATATTTTAATATACAAAAATACACTGAAATTATTGTCACTTTACTAAACGCAACGGATCGTATCAGTTTTTAAAGCAATTATAAAGCAAACAATACGGCGATACTAAAAACAAAGTTACCTTCATTAACGTCGGCGACTTTGCTCCATTCTTTTAGACGTTTTTAGACGGTTTTCGGCTCTCAAAAAGGTTTTGAAATTTGCAAAACCTTACAAAAATACAATATATAGTTGCAAGAAATGTTTGTTAACGCTGTCATCATTTGTCATACAACAACAAATTTGAAACTTGACCAATCAGTGTTCGCTATTCATGACAGCCCACCACATATTTTGAGATCAGTGAGGATGACCACCCACCGTTGGTTACCCACGCCCGCGATCATTGATGAACTTTAGACTTCGCTAATGCTTTCGTTTCCCCGGGTGTAAATAGCCGTGCGGAATTAGTATACCGTCGCCCCGGGCTTACGCCCGGAACGGCGCTCCGCGCCGTTGGCTCGGGGATTATTGATTTAGTATCGAATTTAGTTTCTACAATTCATATTCTTCAAACTACAGTGAATGTACTAACACTTACATCTTCAATTGAGCATTCACAGCTAGCTGCTTTTTCATGTTTCAACGAGGCAACTAGGGCTGCTGGGTCAACAAGCCCTCCAAGCCAGATCTGGTTCAGCGTACCACGTCTAAACGACAATTCCTGGTCTGGATTTGGTACATAGCGTTTGCCAATCCAGGTCTCTAGTTGTGTATGACATTTTTGAAATTCTAGAAAAAAATTCAACCAGGTTCATAGGTTGGGTTAAAATCGTTTGGTTGTTTGGTTTGGGCGATAATAAAATGCTTATATATACCGCTTAAGTACAATTTAAAATTAATTATCTATATAATACCATCGTTCTCCATATACCGGTCCTATATTCGATTGTTTTTCAGCGTGACTTATACCCAACACTTTTCATTGATACTCTTTATTTGAATCATAAAGAATATTGCTTAATTGTTACTATAAAAACCCTGCACGTTACACTCATAGAGAGTACCTAAGAGATGTTCTGCAAAATTTAATAGACTTGTGCTACGCGTTTGCGGTTTAATGCCCACAATGAAACACGATTACTTGTCATTAAACTGTGCAGAGACGATAAAAAATACTCTATTGCTCCTATTTCAGACTTCGGCGGGATGGAGTTGGGTATTCTTACCTTCTAACCAAGAATCAAGTGAGTGTGATGGAGGTTGCCAGTTCACATGAAGCCAAGCGCATGGTACCAAGCCATATTGCAATGGAATAACAACATCATTCATCGATGAAGGCAAAGCATGCGATCCGCGTAAAACACACTCTTCCAAGTTGTATAAGGATTGGCGAATATGGAAAAGAATTGCATTAAACCATTCACACTCCTTAAAAAAATTATACATATTTACATAATATTTGAAAATTTTACTCATTGAAGTAGAAAATATAGACCCTAAGTGATTTGTGGAAAACTGACATTCAAAAATACGTTATCATATAATTATGCAAATCATATAAAAATATGTTATCATATAATTACGCTGCTTTCATGCAGGGATGCTGGAACCACAACTTTTGTAATCACAACATTCTGGGTGCAATGCAGGTGCAGACGTCGATGCACCTATTATATATAGTCTGCACCGCATTGCATCCAGAAAGTTGTGATTACAAAAGGCAGAGGGTGTACTTGGAAAATTGACATTCAAAAATTGCTTTTCGGAGCGCATGCGTCTGTGTTCAGCGCAATTAAATTGCTTTTTTTAATTTCCCACAAAATAATTTTTTAAATTTAAATGACTTGCCTGTTGTAATGCATAATTCATTGTTTCTGGAAAGTTTTCGTCCCGACTTGACACTACGCTGTTCGTTTCCGAGGCTATAGACAATGCACGTAACTGAGATAAAACTGATGGTAATAGAATTGTTGCAGGAGCAGATTTTTTAGCATCAAGATTGAGGAGGGTGGGCAATCGTTCTAAGCACATATCTAAATTACGACGTAAAGCAGTCATGTTGATCAGGTCATGAATAACTGGACCACGAGAACCAGACTTTAGGATACCCAGATTATTGACGATTGAAAGACCACTAAGTGAAGGAAGAAAACAATGTTTATAGATTATCATACTTACTCATTTAAATTAATCGAACTTTTTGAGCATTCGTTCACATCTTACTAATGTCAATTGGGAAAATCTCCCTAATCAAGACGCAGACAGTGCTTTCGATGCTTTTCAGTATGAATTTGCTAGATTATATGATCTTAGCTTTCCTTCTAAATCAGTCAGAGCAAAAACTCGAACAAACCATTAACACCTTGGATGACAAGAGGGCTATTAACCTGTGTTAGGAAAAAGAATAAACTCTGTAAAAAGTTCATTATTTCACGAAGTCCTGTCAAAGAAAGACAATACAAGAAATACAAAAACAAGCTTACACATTTGATTAAGATTGCTAAGAAAACATATTATGAGAATAAATTTGAAACTGCAAAAAACGATCACAAAACAACTTGGAAGCTAATAAACGAAGTAATTAATAAACGTAGAACAAAAACCTCACTGCCTTCCTCGTTTATATCAAATAACACCCTTCTCTCTGATCCTAAAGACATTGCTAACAGGTTTTGCAAATATTTCGCTAACATTGGCCCTGATCTTCCAAGTAAGATTCCTGAGACTTCAAACTCTTTTCTTTCTTTCCTAAATTCAAATAGCGAAGAATCTATTTCACTTCATCCAACAAATGTAATTGAGCTTTTAGAAATCTGTAACTCTTTTAAAACAGCTAAAGCTCCTGGTTATGATAATCTATCCATGTATGTAATCAAAAAATCTATTGACCTAATAGTACAACCTCTTGTTAATATTATAAATCTCTCTTTATCCAAAGGGGTCTTTCCAAGTAAACTAAAGATCGCTAAAATTATACCAATTTTTAAAACTGGAAATCAAAGTTTCTTTACAAACTATAGACCTATATCACTCCTGCCAAACTTTTCAAAGTTATTTGAAAAAGTTATGCAAATCAGGTTAACATCATTCATTGAGCAATGTGAAATTTTGTATAGATTTCAGTTTGGTTTTCGCAGTAACCACTCTACTATGCATTCACTTGTTTCTCTAATAAATAACGTTGCCACGGCCATTGATCAGAACCAGATAGCTGCTGGAGTGTTCATTGATCTTTCAAAGGCTTTTGATACTTTAGATCATGAAATATTATTTACTAAATTACAACATTATGGTATAAGAGGCGTTGCACTCCAATGGATCAAGAGCTATTTCTGCAATCATGAACAATTTGTTCAATATAATGAAACCTGTTCTTCCATGGAAAAATTAAAATGTGGAGTTCCGCAAGGTTCTATTTTAGGCCCATTATTTTTTATTTTATATATCAATGATCTACCGAATGCATTAGAACTGTCAAAATCTTATCTTTTTGCTGATGACACTAGTATATATTATTCAAATTCGGATATCAAGCAACTTGAATTTGTTTTGAACAGTGAACTTCGAAAGCTAGATATCTGGATGAAGTCAAATAAATTGTCTGTGAACATCAGTAAAACAAACTATATCATTTTTCGGCCGAGACAAAAGAAAATTAATTTAAATCTAGTTATCCAATATAACAATCAAATGATCACCCAAAAACAATACATAAAATTTTTAGGAGTATATATAGACGAACATTTGTCATGGAAGGAACATATTAATTATATTTGCAATAAAATCGCCAAGTCTGTTGGAATTATTTACCGATCACGATATCTACTGTCATCCGCAACAAGATTATCCTTGTACTACACACTTATATATCCCTATCTTACTTATTGTAATATTGTATGGTCTTCCACTTATGTAACCAACCTCAATAGAATTCTCCTTTTACAAAAACGAGCTGTACGTATTCTTACAAATTCCAAATACCGTGCACACTCTGATCCACTTTTTAAACAACTCAAAATATTGGATATATTTAAGCTAAATACATTTCACATCGGCAAGTTTATGTTTTTATATCATCATTGCATTTTGCCAACATGCTTTGATAATCTGTTTATAATAAACAATCAAATACATGGTTATAACACCAGATCTGCCGGTAACTATAGATCTCATGCTTGTCGAACTAATATTAAGCAGTTCACCATCTTATACTCAGGACCGAATATTTGGAATTCTTTACCTACAAATATAACTGCGATAAACACAATCTCGTCTTTCAAGATGCAACTTCGTAATTTTCTGCTTAGCGAATAAGGAACAGCTAACTCTGATCAATATGCTACGACCATGTTTATCGAATATTCAGTAACAATATATAAAATTATTGGAAAATCTATTATATATTTTCGTAAATTTTCTCTCTTATTATAAACTTCATTATGTTTCAATTTCATTATATGTGTCTGTAACTTAATTTCAATTTCATATTATATATGTCTGTAACCCTAAATTATACCGATTAATTAAATATTTAACTTTGAATTTTTGAGATGAGGTGGCCTCTTTACACAAGCTCTAAGCTTCTTGAGGTCTCCTCGCCGACTTTATTTTATTAATATCTTGTAAATAGCTAACAGTCTCTCTTTTTTTTTGGCAAATAAATCAAT